ATGTTTGGAACGAAAGAGACAAGTATTATGAAGGAAAGGAATATGCATGTGAAGAAATAAAGAGAATGAGAGAAATGGGAAGGAGTATCAAAGAAGAACTGAGCGTAAGAGATAAGGATATAGATAAGCAAGAACGCAGATCGAGAATATCGGAGTCTAGATATAATGCAGAGTATAGAAAAATAGTAAAGGATGAAGTACCAAAGTACACAGAGAGAGAGTATAAAGGGGAAAAGAATGATGGCGAGATTTAGGTGTGGAAATGAAGAGGAAGACAATAATTTTTGGATAGATAAAATTGACAGAAAGTGTAGGATATGTTGGATCGAGGGAGAAGCAATAGAGCATATGCTGGAAGGATGTGAAGGATTGAGAGAATCTCAGAAAAATTGGGAAGAAGCGCTAAACGAGGATGGACGAGAACTGGACTGGATGAAAGAAGTATGGAAGATAAGGGAACTATGGCAAGGGATGGGCAAGCAGAAAGAATAGAACATTTGTTATATAAAACTCGAATATTTATTTTATTTTATTTATTGTTATTTTTATTTTTATTGATTTATCTGATGTAGATTAAGTTAATTTATACCCCTACTGGAAATATTATTATGCCTGTAAGGCAAATAATAAATTAATATTACTACTACTACTATTAAACTTAAGTTCTGATATAATTTAGGACTATTCAAAATCTTTTTAGCTTCCTTGATTGCTGTAGATGAAGTATCATCAAATTTTGACATGATTTCTTTCATCTCACAGGAATATTTGAAGTAAAATAAAGCAGCGTCAAGCCATATACCCCATCGTGTAATGACAGGTTTAGGAGGCAATGTATTGTATTGTACATCTTATATTTTTATATACTTGTGTTCTTAAAGGGGCTTAACAAAAATCTTTTTCATATTATCTATTAATTCATTCATTTACCAATGGAACTTGATTTCGTACTTCTTCCGCTATTCTGTTTACACCGTGCAACGTGCAACTGCAATCAATCAAATTTGAATAAAATACTTTTAAGTAAATTCCAGCTTTGACCACATATGACGCAGCAACAGAAAGCATTAATACGATTTTATTAAATGGTATAGCATTTGGTAAAAATATGTTGGTTAAACTTTCTTGAACAAATCTACTTATAATGACATTATTCCTCTTTTCTAACTCTTTAACAGCAATTAAATAAGAATCTGACACAAAGTTTGCAGATAAAGTACCAACTAATAAATCTGCTATATATCTGCCGCATACATCTGTTGTTTCGTCAACAACAAAGTAAATAAAGTTATTTTGCAAACATGTCTTAATTTTAGCAACAATTTCGGTACATTTATCTACAGTTGTTTTCCTGAAAGTGTTTTCGTCTAGAATGGTCATTTTACAGTATTTTTCCAAAAATGGATTAAATGTAGGATTACTTAACTTATTTATTATGGAATATTCAACGCAAGCATGGCCTGGCATAAATCGAACTTGAATGTTTCCTCTTCATTTTTGGCTGTATTAGCAGATAAAGTTTCTCGTATTGATGTTTGAGTTACACTGGTTTGGTTGAGTTTCTTTTTTCACAGTTTCTTTTGTGAAGAGGCATTCTGCAGTGTTCGTCTATAAGATGTTTTTTTGTACTCGAAATCTATAAAAAAAAAACTGAAGTGTAATTATTTATGCAAGAGATACCTATTATCGACATTGAATAACATGCAAAACATATTTTCAATTTGGTTCTCTTAGACTTTGCTGTAAGGACTGAACATATTATATTTTAAAAAACTAACTGCTTTGACGCAAGGTTTGCAAAAAACACTATCTCCATCTAGAACTAACCCTTAGTAGGGCCGAATCCACGATGATAGTTTGGATGACATTTTTCATTTTTTTAATTATTCGTAATATCACTTCTTTGTCGCCAAGGTCGTAGACGAGTGATGAATGAATTTTTAAATCGAAGAATGAAATAACTACAAATCCATTCTAGGTTTTACCCCTCTTCCAACCGTTCTTAAATACATTTGCAGAACTATCTATATTTTCAACATCCTGCTTAGAGACCGTTAAGTAAAGAATTCCAGTAATACGCTATAAATGAAGTCTTGGAAACACCCGTCGGCATTCTTACTAGAAAAGGTCGGTACTTATTTACCTGCATACTGCCAATAACTAACTGTATTAAAATTGTATTAAAACTAAGATTTTCACCAATTACCACGAAAAATACACCAAACATTTTAAAATATGCATAAAAATGCACTTAACATTAAAATATGCAATAAATGCAAAAAGATGCATTTTATATTATCCGAGTCTTACACCATCATCATCAGAACCATCTACCTTGCACCAGCAGGAATCTTTGAATGCAAAAAATGTGTATTGTAATAATTGTACGTTCAATTTTTATAAATAATAAAAAAATATGTTGGCATTCATTATATAATCGTAACGAATAGTACTCGGGCAGTAGAAAATAAACAAAAAATGTTAACCTCTTAACTCGACGTATTATCAGAAACACCACCCTTTTGTTTGAATTCACACAAGAAACATATGTAGAACATTTTTATTCTTTTACCAGCGTTGTGTAAAATTGTTTCAAAAGCTCCACTTGATGCCAGAGATGTTAGTATAATGGCTTGAACTTATTTTGGGCTTACGTTGCGGTGAAGATTAAAACTAACTTACCTCAACACACCTAAAAGGCAACAACAAAATATGAACTTGAGAATATCATAAAAACTAACAGGGTAATGAATATCTATTAATTTTTATGTAATGTCATTGTTTTTAATATCTTTCAAACCCAAAGATATTTTATTGCCGCTTGTCTGTTATCTATCGCCTATCAGTTTCTGTCGTCTGTTTGTTAGCGATTCCACTAGACCGATAGTCTGAAACACCACAAAACTTATTACCGTTAAATTTTGAGGTTGTTCTAAGGATAATATCATGTAGCTGGTAAAACACTAACCAAAATTTGTTTAATCATCACGTAGCCATGCTCTTTTGTTTGTAATATTTTCTCGACGTTTCAGGACCCCTAGAGGATGAAAACATATGTCTACCGTTTCCGTCTGTTTTGTTGCCCCCACCTTCAATTTGATGACGTGTCATCATCATTTTGCGTAATCAAGGTTATCCGAGGTTTATGAAATAATATGCTTCTATACTCGTTTTCAATTTGACCAATTTTAATGGTGACCACTATAAATTAAAATAAAGCTATGTATAGACTGTTAAAGTACAGGTAAAGAAGCTTGCTAAAGGCATGCTTCAAGTGAGTTTTTCCATAATAAAATTCTGTAATGACGTTACCAATTTTACCAAAGCCGCGTATATCAATTTGAATAGGTGGAGTGTAGTATTAAAAATAATACGAGAGTTTTCGTGCAACGTTTGATGCAATGGCGTTTACCTTAAAACGGTGGTTGGCTTAGACAACAATTTAGCGTAACGCTATTCAAATACGCTTGCATTTGATCTCCTATACTGTGAAGTTTAGCGTTTACATTGAACCAACGTCGCTAGGCAATGCCATAGTATCAAGTGTCATCCATTAATAATTATAAAAGATTAATAAACGTCTCAAAGTTGTACGAAAACTCTCGAAGTCTGTGTATACTGTTTGGAGTACGGTATATAAGTATTTACCGTATGTTTACCGTTACCGTATTTTTAACGTACGTTCCACGAAAACCCTCTAATAATACTACTGCACAATTCATTCATTTTTTAATTACCCTGTGTAAGAAATTTAAAAAAATATGAATGCATAAATGAACCACAAGTATAAACTCATAATATTTTGCATATTTTAAATTTATTAGGTAAAATTTTCATCATTCTTTTGAAGGGCATAAACAGATACATTTTGATTAACGACGATTAACCATGTTTTAGGAAAACCTTATTAAAACTTTTGCAAAATGCTGATATACAACTGTAATTTTTTTTTCCAAGAATCTGAATGTCTAAGTCATAAATCACATGTGTAGGAGTATACATTTTGGAGATAACGTCTTCCCAGTGTTGGTAGGGATGATCAGACAACTTTCGTCGTTTTACACTATATTCCTAACACACCTAGAAATAAAATCTGATAACAATCGGTGCAGTAGTTTCCAGATTATCTGTCTAATAAAAATCGACACAGACGACAGATAGACAGACGGACGGATAGAAAGTAGCTATTTGACCATATTACAGTACTTCCAGAAATAAAATGAGTAGCGGAATATATCTTGTTTCTTTGTAGATATAATTAATAAATGTTTGCAATTTCCGTAGTGAAATAATTAATTCAGCCTCCAACACCACAAACCATTACTTTTAAGAAATTAATGGAAAATGTAGGTGTATAACTTTATCTACCTATGCCTAGTCTGAGACCGCGTGTGGGCTTAAAGAATAAGTTCAAGTCGATTATGGGGGTATGCACTGAATTATTAATAATTAGTTTGCTTTATTCATTTACGAAGTATTGACGGGTATTTCATCTCATGTTTCGTTCCACAACACAAATTAGGAGGACTCAACACCAGGCTTTAGATCCTATAGTACACATCAATTTAAATGTCTTCATTAAAAAAAAAATGGTAAAATCTGTCATTAATCAAGGTTAAACTTACAAATCATTTTGTATGTATTTTACAATCCATTTACAGGTGGATGCTAAGCCTGTAGAGCCCTTTTACTACAATTTAAACAAAAATTTGAAGTTTTAATTTAAAATAGCTTGCGTAGTTTCGTTAGCTGGTAATTACAGCGTTGGTCGAATTGTTTCATTAAGGATCCAAAATTCCCACATCGAAAACTAGTTAGTGTTAGACCTTCTTGAATAATACGGACTATTTAGTGAAACAATAGTAATATTTGTTAAGGAGTGTATCATAATAATTATCTAACAGTTGAGAAGACGGCGTCGACAATTCCCAGGGGATGTATACTTAGGAGCCAATACATTGAACAGAGTAATCACAACTAATGTTAATATTACATTTTAGGTTCATGTGACCCACAGCGGATGAAAATGTGGATCTCCAATGAGTTTGGATTTCTGGTGTTCTCAGTGGCAACTTTCAGTTGGTTAAATGTTCTTGCAGCTTTCGAAACAAGTAAGTACAAACACAGTTTATAGGTTTAGTTAAGTTATAGGTTTTAAACTAAATTAAAAAAAAATATAACACTTTAGAACAAAACTCAAAAAAATCCTTTACGAGCTTACTCATTTGTCTAATGTAGAGTTTCTCAGAATATTTGCCATAATTATATTTTTCTAGAATTACTGTAAATCTAAGCCTCCTCTAAGCATTTAAAAGGAATTAAGATAACAAAATAAATCAAACTTTGAAACGATGTATCGATTAAATATTTTTTTAATTCTAACATATTGAAAAATAACAATTAAAGCTAGATTGTCATTAACACAAATAAATTATTGCTCTGTGGAAGTGAACACAACAATTTCAATTTAATTGGATTTCACATGTACAAATATTATTATTGTACATATAAAGAAACATGGTATGGTTAAAGAACTACCAACTCTCATCATTATCTTCATCATTGGTGAAATGTAGCTGCAATTTGTAGCTTTCAAGTGGATCGTCTAACTCACACTGTAAACAATGTGTTTTATTATAACTTTGGTCACAAAAAGGGCCCGCTGGACCCATCATGCCTTTTACAATTTTTTACGTATCTGTCATAGTTTTGTCATTTCAAGGCCACAGTGCGTCACAGGGGAAAATGATTTCACTTTACAGCAGCACTCCAATAACCTTGTTGCCTATTCTATTAAAGTGGATTTTGTATTAAGATAATAATTTACAATACTAATGGCGCAACAGATGGGAGGAACAGTTTACAGCAAAACAATTGACACTAATTGCAGGCTAAACTAATCAGTATTCAGTAATCACAAAAGAAAGTGATTACAAAATAGAGCTGATCGTACGATAAATGAACACAAAAACTGTTGTAAGTGTAAATATATTCAAGGAATTTTAATGAAGTGTTAAGAACATAATTAAAAAAACTGATCTGTGTGATTACCTCAAGGTAATCTTCTTACTGCAGATCATCATCCAAAAATTAGTCTTCAATTATAAATTATTTAATCTTCCATCTTTTTAACAACTTAAGTATATATTTCCATTAATTAATAATTTAGCATATTGTAAATAATTACTTAATTTTAGCTTCTAGGTAATTTTTTTAATCGTTTATTTTAAAGGATAATAATTTCCTTTAAACTAAAGTGTTTTAAGACTTCATTTATTGATTTATGTATTTGGTTTGAAATTGACCTTACAAATACGGTTTCTTACACAATTTAAGTACATTACAGTTACATAAAATTAAATATTTATTAAAGTTTACCTCAATTATTTTTCGAAAAGGAAAAAATACATAGAAATAGTGGAGCAGCTTTTTAAGCACTCTTAAGGCCCAATTCTGAATCAAACCTGTTAAAATTTAAAGGTTGTTAAAAAATAAACAGCCAATCAGGTTTACGAATTTCACTCGTTACTATGGAAATTTGCAATTTAATACCCTTTAAATTTAACAACTTTGATTTAGAATTGCCCCTTTAATATTTTTATCACAAACAACTATCGGACAATATTCAACGTCAAACTGATGCATAAAAAGTAGGGATTTTTTTAATCCAATTTCGTTATGAAAGTTACGTTATTTCAAAATTGTTGACAGTTGTCAAAAGTCAATTTTTTCATGACTGTCATTTCATTTCATAACTCATCAGTTACGTAATGAGAATTCATTTCATAACTCTTTCAATTGATGTGAAATAACTTCTCGGAGGTTCTCCGGGAAAGTTAAAAATTCAAAAGCAATACGTTTTTATGGTTTATTATTTAAATTAAACACAAGATTAGTGCAAGTACAGTTCTTAAAAACAATTTGGCTTGACTCTGAGGGCACGCGTTTCTCCTCTACTACTAACACCCACATTTGAATTCTGGTCTAAAATATTGTTGGCAATTTTTTTCTTATTAGTTAAAGAGCTCTCGACGTAACCTTCGCCAGAATCGTTCATTTTACAAAGCCAATTGCCACTTTTGACTTTTGGTTCAAAACAATGATTTACTTGCTTTTGAGACGACTGCCTACTTACCCATTTGCATATGCCATATTTATAAAAATTTGTCATAACAAAATTAAAAACGTATTTAAATGGTTAAATTCAACGAAACTGGATAAAATTTTGTACATAATACGTTTGACTCGCCTAAATTGCAAAATTCCCTTCGGTCGTTTTGGCAAACTGTTAGGACTCGTCAAACAATATCCCACTTTTCATAACTAAATATGTAAATAACTATAAATTTACTGAAAGTTGTTACAATATTAAAAAATGTTTTTAAGTTTTGCACCTCTAGAGAACGAGGAGGAACAAATCAATAAAACGAAGTAAATGTATAAACACCCAAGTGTTAATTTTCTATGCATATGTTAGAGCATAAATGTATAAACACGTGGGTGTTTATACATTTATGCCCTAACATGTGCATAGAAAATTAAAAATTTCTTCAAAAATTTTTAGTTTCGAAAATCGAATCAATAAATTCCTGGTATCGTAGTTATTTTTTTTTAAGTGTGATTAAACAAGTCTCTTCTATGTAAAAATGTTTTTTCGGCTACTGATTTCGTGTCAGTAATTCGGATGTTCTAAGAATAAATCTCAAAAAAAGAACTAAGTCTATTTTTAATAACGATAAATTAACAATTATAATTTTATTCCTTCAATAAGGCATACAATTTTTATATACCTAAGCGCAAGAATATATATACTTTTTTTAAGATAAAAGAGAAAGTCGTAGCTTTGTCCAGGTAGGGTTTTACTGTCAATGTAGGTAAGTAACTCGAATTACACGACTGATTATTACACAGTGATTATGTACAAAATAATTCCGGCGCAACTTGACTATACTCTCGTGGACTCGATTGACTGAATAGTCATCATTCCCGAAGGTGGCCTCTATTTAAACCCATACTTCCTTGTAGACGTGAGGCGATCGGGATGTTTCTGGATTTCCATTCGCGACTTCCGCTTCCAGGCTCTTCCTTTAGCGCTCCGCCGCTCGGTGGCTGTTATTGACGATGAGTCATCACCAGCGTACAGACCAGAAAGTTCTCAAAGGCCCATAGGCGTCGTACCAGGAGACATATGGGTTTATTTAGTAACATTACACTAGCTTAGTGAAATATAGAGATGAATAGACAAAACAATATGTATTAAAACTCGCCCGCATGACTATGATTATACATACAGTCGATGGGTTGATGTAAAACTCAAGAACATGAACTTCTTTTTAAAAAATGTGGATGATCTATATCACACAATTATTTGAAAATTGAAATTAAATACTTTAAATCGCAAATCGTTAAATCTGTCTGGAGATGCATGAAAAAATGTAATTTCCTACATCGATATGTATTATTTGCTAGCAGCACTAAATTCCAATAACTATATCAAAGATGCCTTTCTTTGTTAGTACATTAGAAGTGTTACTGAACCAATATATCATTAACTAGAAAGTTAGTTAATTACATTATTACATGTTTTCCTGAACCGCCCAATGTAGGAAGTAACAATTTTACAGATCGTTTGTTTAAGGAAGATGCAGTTGACATATGTTGTTAGATAAAATATTAAGCATCTCATACCTAAACCTTTGTCCCCGTTAATTATAATTTATTCAGTTATAAATTCCAAACATTTAAAAGCGACTGGATTGCGTTATGATAAGTTACTTAGGACTGGAGATTAATAAATCACAGCTGTGTGACTTTTATTAATATTAAGTATTACATCAGTACCTGTAAGATAACATTTACATTTGTTGAAAAGCTGATAACCCATATTTTATACCTAGTCGAATTCATAAAACATTTTCGTAACAAAAAATGTTCATTTAAGATGTTACGCATTACAAATTTTATTTCAAATATTCTCACAATTACTTGAACTGGACGTTTTTTCTGGTCTATTCATGCCAAATCTTTAAAGAAATGGCTTGGATATTGGATACGTAAACAGAAAACCGCAACTCATAAATCACCAAACGGTCTCAGTGTAACATATGTTTGTAGATATATCGGTGCTTTTACGTCGAAAACCACAAAAGAATTTATTTTATGAACATGTCCACGGTTAGGGTAGCACATGACAACGTTTTATGATAATGTATTACTATAACGTAAAAGTCATTTTATTTACAAAATGTTACACGAGATCAGATTTTTTTTGAACTGCTAAATCACCGCACTGCTTTGGCAAATAGGAGAAATATATACATAGATAAAATATTTTTTTGGTTTCGTGCTTAAACAGTACACACACACTTCATAAATTATAAACGTTGATGTCACTAATTTTATTTTTTTAAGATAGCGTCCATATATTATGCATTACAATGAAAAAAATATGAGCGGATTAAATCTAAATTAAAGGAAGTTAAAAAACTTAAATTGCGCCACTTAATCATCGTTAATAGGTCGTTATTTGATGGCTTGAGGATTAAAACTTCGATTAATTGGAAATTATAAAACTCTATCTACCATTCAAGATAACAGCCAGTATAAATAGTAGATTTTGTTTAAACTTTTTGTCCTCTTCCGAAAAGGCAAATTTAGCTAATTACTAGATATGTGCTGACAACTAGTTAAAAGCCCTTAAGTGGTTTATAATAGCCTTCTTGTTTTAGTAAACTTGTTGCAGAATACGCAAATAACCGCCTTTTCTTATGTACATGTTTGACTATATACAGGGTGCCGTATCCAAGCTTAAACATCAGGCATTAACATAGGGAATTTGTTTTTATATTTTATAATATATCCCCAGATCACTTTAAAGGTAATATTGAGTGATGAATTTGTGGAGGTAAAGGAGGGCTATCAGTCTGTCAAATCATTGCACCCATTTATTGTAAAAAGGTTTTAAAAATCGTATTTTGAAATTAACAGTCGGTCCGATTTATAGCGAAACGATCCGTCTTAGTTCGAAGACCGCGTTCTTAAATTAGCCATGGAAAATCGAAATCAAAATGAATTTAGAAATTATGCCTGAATTTTCATTCAATAATCACTA